CAGTACAATCAAATATTTGTAACCTGTGTGACCTATCAGGTGAACAGTTGACTTGCCTTTGCATGTGTTTGTGATGCATGCCACCGGTAGGGCAGGATAAGCTCCTTTTTTTTCGAACACCTGGTATCATCACTATTTGATTGTGATATATAAACACATGCTCATGATGTCTTATGAATATGGAAAGGGTTTGACTCTTTTATCTAACTTAAAATTTGCAGGCAAGTCCCTGAATGATGTACCATTTTGGGTGAGTGAACTAAAGTTTTGGCTTGTGGCAATGTTTTTTACTAGCCCCCATGTCAACTTGGGTCAAACGTTTTTGGCATAGACTGTTCATGCTGTACCCAAATTGTGACTCAAACCAGACTCTTCGACAAGGCAGGCAAATGTGTCAGTTACTTGTGGATCATGGAGGAACTTGTACTCGCAGCTTCTTGTCTTGCAGACTCAATCACAAGCCTGGTCACACTTTTCATTGTAGATTTATAAAAGATGCATCTTAATAAGGATATGTCAGGAAATAATTTATTACTACTCAATTTGTGAGTAGCTCTGCTCTACTTAAGACAACTTTGAAGTACGTGTATATCACCCAACACTGACAAACAGGATCCTGCTACTAGTCTTGAATAAATGTATCCCCATAGCTGCAGATAACATTTATTACTCAATCAGATCCTGGACAAATACTCACTACTGAAAATAGCAGCTTATAATATGTATGCTATGTGAAATTGAAAATAAATTCTTGTATGTTTGTATGTTGATATCCAGATAAAAGATTTGTGATTTAACTACATGTATTCCATTATGGCAACCACCATAGGTGTGTATAATGACATAGCAACAATTGCATAATTTGCTGAAATTAAAGGTGTGTAGACCTGCAATGGAGCTAGAGTTTGTTTGTTTATTTATTGTTTAACACTGCATTTAACAATATTCCAGCTATATGATGGAATTCTGTAAATAATCGAGTCTTGACTAGACAATCTAGTGATTCTCATCATGAGTGCTGATCAACGCAATTGGGATACGATTACATGCATCAAACAAGTCATTGAGTTACCGCCCGGTCCTGTTAGTAACCTTACGACAAGCATGGTACGCTTGCTGAAGATCAATTCTAACCCATATCTTCACAGGTCCAAATGGAGCTAGATAACATTAAAGGATCCAGCTTCATAGTAACATATTATATTGTCATACCCAAATGTTGTAGTTGATGTATGTCTTGATTAAAAATTTAGATTTCTATGAAATTCTTATGAAATTCAAGATTAATATGATATGTGACACAGTAATGATACAATATTGTTTGTTTGAGAATGGTCTGATACTGTATAATTCTGCAGTCAGTTATACAACAGCAGCTTGTAAATAATAGTTACAATTATGAAAGTAATAAATTCAATGGTTAATATTTGTATCAGCAAGGAAAAGGCAGGGAAAACCTGTGGTTGATAGAATAAGCAACAATCCACATCCACAGGGTACAATGACACTACCTGGCTGGGCTCTGTTCCACAAGGTGAACTTTGTGCTAGGACTACTGAAGCCTATGTTACAGCACAGGAGTTACAATCATCTTAGCTCTAAGATCGCTTTGTGGAATGATGCTCAGGCCACATATTGTAAACACCATATCTCAGTTTCATCAGCTCCTATGACAAGCATAAGTCACTGAATACATCATTTAAACCCATATCCCCAAAGGGATAATAAATAACAATATCTCAAAGTTAGAATCACTATATTATCAAATCATAATGCAATTGGTCATTTAAATGATAATTCATATTCAAGATGGAGCCAGACAGTGACCTTCAGATGAGAATACATACATAATAAGCACAGGCTACTAAGAGGCATTAGTATTAACTTACAGTTTCCAAAGTACCTCATAAAATTCCTCCCGCTACAGGAACTGAATGATTCTTGAACACTATTCAGGCGACTGAGTAAAAATAGAAGTGAAGACAATATGGACCCACCTGGAAAGGTGCAGCAGATTACACGCTAAGAATAAGACCACTATAGCAACCAGCAATTGGAAACTGTTAGAAAATATCTAAATGTATTTTGCTGGAGAAAAAGGAAAGCAATAATCAGTCACCATTGTAACTTTCTGTCATCTTTATGTGTGTCAGTAATATAATGCCTTAGCATACTTTTACTATAAATTTATGAGAAACAATATTTGTTGTGTTTATTTCGTTCTTATATCAGCATTCTTAAAATGATGTAAAGAAGGACACTTATTGTTCTGACACTACATAAGTATTTGACATAAACCAAAGATAAATATAGGTTCTCTTGATTTGCAAAAATCAGCGATAGAACCTTACAGTTTTAGTCCACTAGTCCTTAAAGTGATAATATATAGCAAAACCCTTAAAAAGGGCAAATTTCTACTGGTCCTTTTGATACCTTAGGACAGGTAACTATTGGGAAGTTTGGCTAGGACTATAGGACTAGTGTAACGTCTAACGCTGAAAATGTGGTAAGAATTAAACTTATATAGGAAATCAATGAAAATAATGGAAAAGTATTGGGATAGTGTCAATGTCTTGGATTGAATATAAAACTATAGAAGAATCAGAGCAATAAAGCGTATCACTCTCTGAAAGTTACTTTAAAAATCCATTTCTAATTCTAAGTCTCCATTTTAATGAAATAGACTCTTGTACCTGTGTATGTCAGTATAGCATAATCCTGTTCACATATGCATCGATCTTTTAATACTTTAACATTACATTTGTTCATGGCAAGAAATATCAAATGGCTAGATTGCAGTATACCAGATACCATCACCATGTTTTGTTCAACTGTGCAAATTAGATGCACAAATCACCTTTGCAGTTTTAGTAGCCATTTTGTTCTCGCTTGACGGAACTGGAATAGGGATAATAGAGGGTTTGGGGACTTTGCCTCTCTAATTTACAACTTATTATAAGGCTGTCATTTGCATTTGTATGTATTGGTTGAAATAGAACTAATGATTTCACGATTTGCATGTGCCTGCCATGGGTGTTATAGACACGAATGATCAACGGCATAAATGACATAAATTTCTCGATGCTTAGGTATTTTCTGCATATGCAGAATTCCTCAAAATAAGTGGTTATTAGTTGTTGGGAGTGATCTTTTTAGAGCACCCCACAACAGTTCAATTGTGTTAGTGTGGGCATAGTTTCCAGGTCTTTACACTGGAGAGAGTTTTACTGTCAGATGGGTTAAGTCCTCTTCATGTAAACATGTGCATGCCCTAAAGCAGTCAATTATTATTGTTGTTCCTGGCCTCATGTGTTTTATTCTATAATAGGAATCAAGGTTTCACCAGTTCTGTTTTTGACAGGAGCGAAAAAAACAAACACTTCCTTTCAATGACACCAAACATTTGATGTTCCTCAACCTGCTTACCTCTGTTGAACTTTTGTTTCCCAAACTAACTTTCATCAATTTCTACATTTCCAACTCCGCCTATTAGTCCTCATTAGCCACAACACACATTCCCCTACAAAATGTATACCAGCCGACAGGTATTCAATATACTGCCAGTATTAATTTTGGTACAGTACAAAGCATGTATATCATTCATGCTATGCTAAAAAAACATTGAAAGTAATGGGTCTTCATTGCTAGTTACAACGTTCAGCATGTGGGTATCTTAAACAATATCATATCATGCTAGTCAGGCCAGCCCCATTGGCTACACGCTGTAATATGCAATATGGCTGAGAGTGGTATAAAAACAATGAAAAAACAGTACAAATTGATTTGCTTATTTGTTGGTAGTTTGGTTGAAAGTAACAAATTAGCAAGAGAAAATAATTTTTAATTGACAAAATAATCCTTGATGAAATAATATTGAACAGTGCTTTATATTGCCAAGGGGTTCTTGTCATTGACACCTGAAAAGGACATTTCTGTGCAATGTGGGTCTGCTGGCTATTTATTTCTGATACCTGGCTCATATTTTATAGACCTGTGTCAATTGATCCAAGCGCACAGGCTGATGTAGACTTGCCCAAAGGCTGTACTGAATCTTTTGATGTATAGTAAGTCTATACTTATTAATAGGCAAATCTAGATAAGCCGAAGACACCAGTCTTTTATAGGGAAAACTTGTTCTTATTATTTATATAATCTAGGAATTATGACTTTAACTACTTATCATATCCTCAGAGGCTTGTGCAATTCTAAAGCCTATATTTAATAAATAATCACCCCCATTCCAATTCTCATTCCCTTTTCAGCTCTAGGAATTAAGAGACTTGAGGGTACCTCAATTGAATTATTTTATACAACTTTATCAGTAAGTTTATTTCGGGGACTATATGCAAATCTACTTGATCCTATGATTATCCATATCAATGTAAAGCTCTGATTGAAGAGCAAACATTTCTTTTGGTTCAGACATAATTCTTATATCTATTTCTACAAAACAGTATTCAACAAAACAAAGATTCATATAGTGTACTTTCTCATTTATAGATTGATTGGGAGGCTCTTTCCAATCTGTTTGAAGTCTGTAACTACATATGTGGAATGAGGCAATTTTAACAACCACAATATCAATTCATGGCATAACTGGAAAGATGCAACTTCAACAAAGTTGATATTCAACTCATCTGTGGAATTCCTATGACATTGGTTTCTATGTTGAAACAGCCATGGAAATTTGTAAAGAGATGTCACATGCCACAATGCATCAAAATCCCCAACAATCCTGGCAGTAAATGTGTGGAACAGGGAATGTAAACAGTGCTGTATGTTCAGAGCCTGAAGCACATCTCTTGTTTACATGTCTTGCATGATTTTATCTGTCAGAATTTACCACCCCTCTCCTTGGGTAAGCAGTGAGAGTCCTTCCCCCACAGCGTAACAGATGAGAGATTCCTCTCCCCAGCAGAGTAACAGATGAGAGATTCTCTAACCCCATGAGGCAACAGATCACTGCTTCTCACCAGAGACCTACACACTGACGTACGTACCTGTCTCAGTTTAGCTAGCCTAGATGGCGTCTTGGACTTTGGAGAAGCCTTTGGAGAAAGGCGGGGTTCTTCCACCAGACCATTCTCTGGACTGTTTGGCACCACAAGTGACTCTTCAACCCTCATCTGAAAAATGTGATGTTTTACTCAGTGACAAAATAAAATACATATTTCACAGGAAAAAAGTCAAATGCTACAATATCTTTTAAAAGAGCAGTTTTTTTGCTGGTGTTACATGATTCCTAGACTGACACATACTCTAGTTAATATTTTCCCTTGAGAGTTGAGAATGCAAGTTGAATGCACCAAGGTAATAATATCCCGCCCATCTGTGCAGTGGAATCTTTAATGTTATAAGCTTCCAATTATCACTGTAAGCCAAGATGAAGGCAGCTAAAATGCAAACTGGTGAGGTTGATTAATTTTCTATGCATTTAAGAGCATGGCCAAATCACAAATATTGCAACTACACAAAAGAGCATGCGGTTTGAGTCCAAAATCTAGCTACAAACATAAAAAAATTCATTACATTTTAGAACAAAATAGACAGTGATGACACAAGCTCACTTGACTTTCAGAGAAATGAGCTAAAAACTACTTGTTACCCACTACTCAACAAATTCAAAATGATGTGCCAAAGGAGGGAACACCCATTCTAAACTATTCAACAATATAACAGATGATGTCTTAAAAAAATTCATTATGAACTTTATATAAAGCTTATTTTCAAACTTGTTAGTGGTCATCTTGGAAAGAATGGCTGTCCCAATCTCGAGAAATACACAACAGTGAGAGAAAGTAAGGGTCTTGCTTGTTGTCCTTGAGGTTTATTGTTTTAATCTGGGAACCCCATAAATTCATTATTGTTAACATTAGGGAAATGACAAGGACCCCTTGACATTCATTCTTTCAAACACTGCCCAGTAAAGCAATATCTAACATAACTTTCAGTTTCATGCTTTTAACACCAGAAGCCCAATTCCCCTACCATCAAGAAAGACCTGTTCACAAAATAAGGAAAACAATTTCTTTGCAAGAGATACCAGAGAGATATCATAGTAGTTAAAATATTACTCATCAAGCCAAATGACAGCGTCCATTTCCACGGGAGGCAACTTTCATAGCCTATTGTTTGTTTCAAATCCTTCCACACAACACTAAACTGTACTCTGTCCTTGCATGCACATCCGTATTGAACACATTTCAATTCTGTCCACACACAGTGTGAGGATGAAAACAGCTCTAAGGTCGATTTAATGAAGAATCCAAAAATTCATTAAAAAATTAAGGGGGTTAACTTGAGAGCCCCAAAAACAAATTTTTCCAACATTAGGGTATAACATGGACCATTTCCCTTTGAGGAAATCAGAGATTCTCTAAATTAATCCAGAAACATCTGCAATATGAAAATATCACTAATTATCATAAGTATTTGCAAAACATCACAGACCTACCCAAACAGAACCAGAAACTGAATGATAATTATCCAAAAACAAATGAGTTTCAAACATATTACTTTCACCTTCCTAAGAGCTTGTCATAAATACTCTAAACGGGTAATCACACGAGTATAGTATCTATATCACCAATCATTTGATATAGTAATGTCATTGAAATTAGCATCCTTATTATTTACCAATGGTGTTTCAACAAAAGTCTTTTACAACACCTGTATATTATTGCTACGATAACACCTAACAGTGAGGTTAATACTGTCCATTACAATCCTGATTGCCCCTGGAAGTTATACTGTGTTTGAGCTGTGCACTTGAGGATTATACCATAACCTGGTTGTGTAAACAAATTGGTGCCTGCAACAACACTGGTTTTAAACAGTGATTCGGGAAATGCCACTTCAAGGTAACAGGTGAAAGAGAAAGTGAGAGCATTTATGTTTTTATAGGCAGCTTCATCCGGTATTGATGGTCCTGTGCTGTCTAGTCATTAATGTCAGAGGAAGACTTGCTCAAGTTCTCTACATCAACATTAACTTCATTCTGTATTGATGGCGCTGAGGTATATTTAGTCATTGCCATCAGAGGTAGACTTGCTCTAGTTCTCTACAGCAATGTTAACTGCATCTTACATTGATGGTGCTGTGCTGGATCTATAGTCACTGTTGTCAGATGTAGATTTGCTATAGTTCTCAATGTCAATGTTGATTTCATCCTGTATATGATGGTTCCATACTGGATCACTCAAAAAGATTAATTATGTGAGACATGTATCATTTCTCAAGATATATCATGTCCACCATAAGATGACAGCATTCTTCAAGAGTTCAAATAGATCCACCATAAAATGAAAACATCATTCATGAAGATCAAATAGATCCATCCCAAGATGAAAGCATCATTCAAAAAGATCAACAGATCCATCTTAAGATGAAAACATAATTCAAGAAGATGAACAGATCTATCTTAAGATGAAAACATTATTCATGAAGATCAAACAGATCCATCTTAAGATGAAAGCATCATTCAAGATCAACAGATCCATCTTAAAATGAAAGCATCATTCAAGAAGATGAACAGATCCATCTTAAGATGAATGCATCATTCAAGAAGGTCAACAGATCTATCTTAAGATGAATGCATCATTCAAGAGGATCAAACAGATCCATCTTAAGAAGAAAGCATTATTCAAGATCAACAGATCCATCTTAAGACGAAAGCATCATTCAAGAAGATGAACAGATCTATCTTAAGATGAATGCATCATTCAAGAAGGTCAACAGATCCATTTTGAGATGAAAGCAACATTCAAGAAGATGAACAGATTCTTCTTAAGATGAAAGCATCATTAAAGAAGATCAACAGATCTATCTTAAGATGAATGCATCATTCAAGAGGATCAAACAGATCCATCTTAAGAAGAAAGCATCATTAAAGATCAACAGATCTATCTTAAGATGAAAGCATCATCCAAGAAGATCAAACAGATCCATCTTAAGATGAAAGCATCATTTAAGCAGATCAAATAAATCTATCTGAAGACAAAAGCAGAATTCAAGAAGGTTAACAGATGCATCTGAAGATGAAAGCATCATTCAAGATGATCAAATAAATCCATCCAAAGATGAAACCATCCTTCAAGGAGGTCAACAGATCCACCATAAGATGAAAGCATCACTCAAGGAGATCAACAAGATCCATTTTAAGATGAAAGCATCATTCAAGATGATCAAACAGATCCATCTTAAGATGAAAGCGTCATTCAAGCAGATCAAATACATGAAAGCATCATTCAAGAAGATGAGCAAGATTCATCTTAAGAATAAAGCATCATTCAAGATGATCAAATAGATCCATCTGAAGATGAAAGCATCCTTCAAGAAGATCAAACACATCCATCTTATAATGAATGCAACATTCAAGATCAAATAGATCCATCTTAAGATGAAAGCATCATTTAAGAAGATCAAATACATCCATCCCAAGATGACAGCATCATTCAAGAAGGTCAACCGATCCATCTTAAGATACAAGCATCATTTAAGCAGATAAAATAAATCCACCCTACGATGAAAGCATCATTTAAGCAGATCAAATAGATCTATCCTAAGATGAGGGCATCATTCAAGAAGGTCAACAGATACATTTTAAGAATAAATCATCGTTCAAGATGATCAAATAAATCCATTCTAAGATGAAAGCATCCTTCAAGAAGGTCAACAGATCCACCATAAGATGAAAGCATCATTCAAGATGATCAAATAAATCCATCCTAAGATGAAAGCATTCTTCAAGAAGGTCAACAGATTCATCATAAGATGAAAGAGTCATTTAAGATGATCAAACAGATCCATCTTAATATGAAAGCATCATTCAAGCAGATCAAATACATGAAAGCATCATTCAAGAAGATCAAATACATCCACCATAAGATGAAAGCATCATTCATGAAGATGAGCAAGATCCATCTTAAGAATAAATCATCCTTCAAGAAGATCAAACAGATCCATCTTATAATGAAAGCATCATTCAAGAAGAATACTCAGGAGTATTTCTACCCTGGGAACCTCTTAGGAAACAAAGACATTTGTTTAATCTATCTTAACTACCAATTTTTTCCATTTTGTGTTTGTTTTAACGGAACCTACTTAACTGACTTGTGGGTATGCTCATTAAAGAGACTGTGTGAGAATGTCGTTTTACACTGTAGTCAGCAATATTCCATCTATATTGCAAAGGGAAGTAAATGATAAAATCTCGGCCAGGCAAACACACAGTTGACACCATGAACAACGATCAACACAAAAGGGCACAATGACACACAATCAGCCTTTCACACATTGTTACCAGCCGATCCGTAGCAGTTGTTACAATGATCATGGAATACTATTTGACCTCAATTCAGATTTGAGAAAGAAGTGCTTTCAATGAAATAGTTTGCTTTGCAGGGTAGTGATCAACAAAATAATGGTCAAACAAAGATTTCATACCAATGGCATCTAAAATGTCACGATAGTGTTTAAACTGTCATGATAGTATATGATCATATATTTCAAAGTGTAATAAGATCAAGTATTTTCTAACTTCACAGTAATGGAAAAGGTACTTTACAAGAAATCTCTGAAACATTTATTGATATATTGCACCAATCATGTTTCATTCAATATACTATTCTCCTAATCTGAGTATTTTCATATTGATAACAAATGAATAGATATGGATTTATTGGTGTGTTTGTTGTTTAACGCCACACTCAGCAATATTTCAGCATTATGATGTCCGTCCTTTTGTTAATTATCAAGTCTGGTCAAGACAACCCAGTGATTGACATCATGCATCGATCTATGCAACTGGGATATGATGACATGCATTAAACAAGTCAGCAAGCCTGGCAGTCGCCTGATCCCTTTTGTTGCCTCACACGACAAACATGGGTTGCTGAAGACCAGTTCTAACCCAGATCTTCTTGTGGTGATGGATTTAAGGGAATTATTGTCTTCATTTATTTGCTTGTTTGTTAAAACAGCAAACAAACAAACAAACAAAGACAATAATTCCCATAAATCCAGAATGAACAAACAAAAAATATTAACAAACAAGTAAACACAGACAATAATTCCCATAAACCCATCACCACAAGAAGTTCGGGGAGTTTTTGCAAGTGGTCACAATGAAGCAAAATCCTGTGAGTAATGTATGACTTTAACTCCAACATGCATGTACCTGGGGTTTCTTTTCTGATGCCTTTGAACTGGTGCTCTTTGGAGCATCCGATATGACTAATGTCGTTTTATCCATAGATTTATCCTTGTTCTTTGCAGGTGTCTGCCCAGTGTCGCCTGTAAACATAAGGAATGAAGCATGTATTTTAGTTTGATATTAATGCATATAGGATACTGTTTTACCTGCTTGTTTATGTGAGTCAAGTTGTGAGCTGGAACCTGTAAACATCTGGAATCCTTTCAAATATTGCATGAATTGAGCATTTTCTTCTTGCTCTTTCATCTATGTTTGTTAAGATAGATTGTAGGTATTCTTTGACAAAGTTTTGGTTGTATTCTGATCATCACCCTCATGGAATACACCTAGTCACATTTATAATATGATCGACTAGACCTAGTCACACTAATAATATGATACAGCAATCCTGTTATGGTATATTACCTCTATATAAGTGCTAATAAAAATGTCAAGAATCACAAAGCCTGCACATGACCATGAAAACACTTATGCAGGTAGTTAGTTATGTTTGAGGTTTATAGCACTCATGTTTTGCCAGCTTCTACATAAGCTACTGTCAGACCAGTAGTCTGATCAACTGTTCAATTCAATCCTGCATGAACTGAATCACCCAGCAACTCATCAGTGTGAGTGTGAGTGTGAGTGTGAGTGTGAGTGTGAGTGTGAGTGTGAGTGTGATTTGTTTGTTTGTTTGTTTGTTGTTTTAACTCCACACTCAGCCATGTTCCAACAAGGTCTCGGCGGTCTGTAAATAATCAAGTCTGGACCAGACAATCCAGTGATTGATTGATCGATTCATGCAATTGGGATACGATGACATGTATCAACCAAGTCAGCCTGACCACCCGATCCCGTTAGTTGCCTTTTTACGACAAGCATTTTTACGGCAAGCAACGGTTGCTAAAGACCTATTCTACTCTGGATCTTCACTGGTAGTGTGAGTGTGAGTGTGAGTGTGAGTGTGAGTGTGAGTGTGTGTGTGCGTGTACATGTTTTGTTTAAAGCCACACTCAGCAATATTCCAGTGGTCTGTAAATAATCAAGTTGGGACCAGACAATCCAGTGATTGATGTCATGGGCATCAATCTATGAAATCTATGAAATTGGGATACTTTGTTATGAACTTACCAAGTCAGTAAAATTCCAAATTTGATGAATCAGTGACAAATATGCCCAAAGCAATTCCCTATTTTGACTTGTATCATATATTCTGATGTTTTTTCAGGTGAACAATTGGCTTGCCTTTGCATGTGTTTGGATGCAGGATACGTTCACCTTATACATGTAGTGAACACTTGGTGTCATCACTATTTGATAGATATTCATAAACACATTCTCGTTGGAATTGTACAACTGAGTCTGCTTTTGGCAGAGATTTCTTTAGAAAGAGCTTTAGAAACGAACAGTTTCAGTCCACTAGTCCTTATGATGATAAGATATAGCAAAACCCTTAAAAAGGGCAAATGTCTACTAGTCCTTATCATACCTTAACTATTGGGCAGTTTGGCAAGGACTATAGGACTAGTGCCATATCATGACATATTTTTTATATTTTTTTCTCTTGAAAAGCCCTAATCTGAACTCATGATTATATTCAAATGAAGTTATATATTCTTTAATGTTTACCAATATAAGGTTTTTGTGTACATTTCCAAATTTGACAAGAGGGCTTCATGAGTATCTGCTGCCTGAGTATGTATCCCCAAGTTCCATGTGGTGCCTGACTACAATGTCAGGACATGGAGATGGAGTAGGTAGAAGCATGTTACAAAATACCATCATACCTTTCAGCTGCCCCTACCTGCTCTACACAGATGTGAATGTAAAGTTTACTGCCTTGTGATAAGAACTTCTTTAATAAACCTGTCATAAGATATCTATACATCAATACAGAATATTGCCTAACACTAAACAGAATAACGAGTCTCCATATAAGATACCTATAGGACATCTTTTAGCCATCATTCAAATATTTGATGGAGGCATCTAGGATTCATTGCAGCAGAGACCACACCCGTGTATGGTCTTTGTGTGTAGCAAGTAGCAGTCAAACCAAGAATGTCTTCTAGTCATGCATATTTCTGGCACAGCAAAGGGGTGCAACTCTACTCTAACTTATTAGCCTAACTATTGGTAATGGAAAACAGCTTCCAACTTTCACATTGAGCACTACATTACTGTACAGTCTGCCCTTGATTGGACAGGGACCATGAAGACAAACCCTTTGTTCATTTCACCATAACTATGCCTCTTTCCCCTACTCAATATTTAACATAATACCAACTATTAACATCAATTTCTTACTGATTTTTATCAAAAATATATTTAGTACTGAAAGAAGCAAAATGTAGGAGGCCCCAGGTACCCTGTGATTGTCATAAGAGGTGAATAAATTGAGTATTGGGTGGTCATAATGTGTGACAGCTTGTGTTTGTCATCATTTCCCACTGGCCTAGATTGTTGCTCATCTTATCAACCAGTGGTGTGGATAACTCTTGAAAAAAACTCATATTTTATCTTCATTTTGTTAAGCTGATCCCAAACTAGGTGTAAACAAGGAAAAAGTTGATCTGTTATTGTATTGTTATTACACTGTGATACATTTCTCCCACATGTTCCGTTTCTACAGTAGAGAACTCTTGAGAATACTGAACTCTAACCTGACATTTTGTCTGATCCCAGTGGGTGTCGGTTTATAGAAACACTTCTACTAGTATTACCTACCCTGACTAGTTTTCTTGCTTTTCTTGGCTTCCTTCTCCTGCTTCGTCTCCTTGGCTTGAGTCTCTGTCTCCCCAGTTCTTGATGTGGAACTCTGATGAAATAGCAAAGTTTAAACTTAAGGCTATTTACCAGCTACAGTAACATATATCAACCAATATCAACTGAAGCATCTCCTTCAGTCCACCCTCCTCATCAACACCTCATCAAAGTCAAGTTAAACTTGCCCCTCAAACACTGACAGCTGAAATTAGAAATGTTCATTAGGAGTTCTTCAATGCAGCATCTCGCAGTATACCTATTCCTCCTATTTATGTCGCAACCACATACCTCCGTCTCTGATTACCAAACACCAGCATCAGGATGTGTACCTGGTGAAGACATTCATGATAGACTTGAGTGTTACTATGACACTCTGCTGGTACCCGACCATAACTTACAAGGAATATTGGTTGTGTAATTGCTGCTTCCTTGGGATGGGGGTTGGGGAGAGAATTATATGTGTGTGGGAGGGGGTTGGTGTGGGAAGAATCATTGGGATGGCACTTAGAATGATTTGCTTCAATTCAAGTAAACCATTACAGACATGGAGCTCTGTGCTTGATAGGTACTTTCAACACTGTGAAGTAGTTCTGAAGAACATGAGTATAAACATGCTATGCATGTGCTGAAAAACCATTATCTTTGTTTACATCTGTTATCTTTATTCAAAGTTTACAGGAAGACATTGATCAAATGCTTGGAATTGTGAGCAACAGGATTGTCTCAGTAAAAAAAACTATTTAACTTTTTGTAAAGCTAATTGTTAGTAATTTCTGTTCATTGCTATAAGTTAATCAATTGCATAATGGAAACAAATGAGTTTCCAGGTTTGACTTGATATTTAAAGTCTGACATGTAGAATAGAGAACAAGGACTAGACCATTTTCTTAACACAATGGTCATATGAACTTTGATGAAAAATAAAATACACAAACAAGACACTGACAATAAACTTAAAATGTGACATGTTTAAATCTATTGCCAACACCATATATAATAAGTAGCAGAAATCTGATTAATAAAATTATGACCTCAAAAATCCAAATAATCAATCATCATTTCTAAAGATCAAATAATACAAATTATGTCCAGAATCTGAATGTCCACAACATGTATTCTAGATACAGAACTGACACAAACCAATGATTGATTATTACCGGTAGTCAGTCATCAGTCTGATGAATGATAATGACCTTTTTTTCAGCTATTTCAAACATGAAATGGAGCAGCATTAAAAAGTTAACTGAAGACTTCCACCCAGTGAGTGATGGCTATGTGGTCACATGTCAGGCATGTTCAGCCACCAGGGTGCTTCAAGTGCTTTATGCTGGGGCCAAGAACATTATCAGAAACATAAAGCTAATACTTATAAAAAAAATGCTCCAAATATGTCCCTTTTATCATTTGTCTTCTCTTCTTACATAATATTTACAAATATAGAATATACAAGATCATGTTTAGTTATTTCAAATAACTATTCAGTAAGAATGCACATGTGTTCAGTGCAGGCATTCTACATCCAATACAAACCTATAGTATACTGTACAACTATTTCATACAGTAACAACTTGCTTAACATTTCAACAGTCATCATATGTTTTCATAACATTAACATCAAAGTGAGCATAAAATTAGGAGAATGTACCTGTCCTCGAGCCTTGTCCCTAATGGCACCACACCTTGCCAACTTAGCTGCCACATTATCATCCATGAAGACAGACACCCTCCTGCTTATCCCCAGCGCCTTGGCCTGGAGATGCTGGCAGGCCAAAGGTTGGTAAACTAATGAGTTGGACCCATTCACAGAGAGCTACAGGTAATTCACAGACCCATAGCTGGATAGCCGGACTCCTGAAGCTACGCCTCATTTAGACTACACCCTGTGACTACTGCAGCATAATCATAAAGCACCATGGCCCATTCCTCAACAGATCTCGCCAGCCTTCAGACAAGTCATGAAGAACTGGTCTTCCAGGAATGTGTTTTTGTCCACTGGAGGATGATATTTTGTTGGTAGTAATTCTTTATCACATATGTGTCAATGTTTGAGGCACAAAATATCGAGTTTTACAACTAAATCAGAGGAAGATTAAATCAGGAGATATTTTTATCCATGTTTGGTGCCCTATGACCTCAACTACTTGAGTAAAGTTCTACTTTCACTGATATAAGGCAGAAGGGTTTACGCTTGAGTGATGTCATCGCCAACCGACAGGGTTGCTTCACCAGCTGCTGTCAGCTGAGGCTGGTATCTTTATCTCTTCAAAACCACACAAGCACATTGAATTGACATAGATACAGTCCCTGATACCAGACAACCTTTCGTTTCTGCTATTACCAAAATGTAGGCAATAGAAGAAACGGGTTCTGGAGTCCTTGAGGTTTGCTCGTGTGGACACCTTAACTTAAATTTTTGATATCAGGATGATGACAAGGACTCACTGACTATTAAGCTTAGTTTGGATAACTGAATTGGGTAGTTTGATAGTCTGACATGTAACAAATTGTCGGGACTAGCAGAATTTAACCAAATATATGATGTTCGATAAAAAGACTACGGTTCGAAATTATGAACCTTACTTTATTTATAAGGTCTACCGGTACATATTTCTTGGAGTTCTCCTTTGACATGTCAGCAACATTGTTGAAGGCAACATTTAAAGGAGGACTGGCTCAGGACATTTGGCAGTCCTGCCAAGTTTGCTTCACGTTGTTCTATACTAAGTGAACTTAATCAATTTGAATGATGTATATCACTCTAAAAGTTAACGACTGCACTAATTACTGAGATGACTTTTCAGTTTCATATGACACTAATTACAACGGCAAAACGTAAATGTTGGAAATGAGCAGCAGACCAGAGCAGCGTCCACCATTAATAATCCATTATTCTTTAACCTAGGTGCATGCCATAGCAAGAATCAAGCCATACTTGAGAACTCATAGATTTTGGTCACATGAATCCACTAAAGGAATACTTACACTAAATGAAAATTTGAAGTTTATTTTCTTCCAGACATCTCAACACAGGACATGCTAAAATGATTTCGCCTGAAAATCCATTGATGGCAACAACAAAATTTAAGATTGCAGTAGATGTTATCAAATCAGCCATATTGTACTGGTAAAATACTATGATAGAAACTATAAATAGTTACTTTCTGAGAATAACAAGTTACAAATACAATAACAGGCTGTTACAAAATGACAACAAAAACAAGTGCAGGAGCACTGGTAACTTGCTGAGCTAGGTGTTAGGATGCAAGGCATGGCTCTGCATATATCCGCTATCTGCAAAAGAGATGTCAGCAGTATAAAGAGGCAGCGTTTTGTGGGAGGACTACCACACTGTCTTCTCTCAGACCGTTTAAATCTGCCGGGATGCACTGAGATATAATCAGGAACAGGGACCAGCTGAAGCCAGGAGGAGTGGAGTTTTTGGACTGGGTAAATTAAACCTGAAGAAGTGCACCAACTGATACTGTGTTGTGAATCACATGTTCAGTTTCAGTGAGGAGATGGAGAACAGACAAGAGATGTCTGAAAACAAAACAGTGATCTATTGTTTTAGCTTAATTCAGGCTCAATATTTCATTAAGTCTGAAATATTAACTATCCTTTTCCCTGGGAACCAGAATAAATGTAATGTGTAATACCATAAAAACAGGTTACATAACGAACACTACACATTCTTTGGATGGTTGGATGAGAATCAGTTTCTCAACATTTCTGAATCTTCATGTTTGTTTTAGAGTCCTGGCTTGTATTAGACTAGAGACCAAGTGTGTAATAGAGGAAATAACGTTTTACAGTTCCTAGTGGTGATCGATCGGCAGCCATTTTTTATGAATCGATATGTAGGCTATTGATGTATTCATGCACACATTTTCTGTGTGAAAAGGTTTACTATATTTAAAAGGGATTTCCATAGCAAAAAGGAAACCTCTTTTTAACCAATCAGAATCAAGCATTTTTCAATGTCATGGTAGAATGTATCCTGTTCACCAATTAACAGAATGCCAAAATAACTGGCCACTGATTACCATTTTGTTTGTGTTATTTCTGGATTACCTGAAATTACAAGTTTAGCTTGTTTGGGGTGAAACTAAGAGCAGGTGGGATCATGTTGGTGCATGGAACATTGGAATTGATTTCTGTTGTATGGCAATGACAGGGAATCAAAACTGGAAATAAACTTTCCTGTTGAATAACTGTACAGCTATGGCCATAGTCTATACAGCATGTGCAACACTATCACGCACACAAACAATTCACATTTTGTGTTATCACTGGTAGAACTTTCATATATTTTGTTGATCAAAAAGAATAATATTTTTGTTGTCAATTTTGTCATCTATAAAGGACCCCTAAATATTACTTATCCATAACAGTATGTACTATTGATTTCATGATGTATTCAACTTGTGCATATATGGAAATTGGCAAAGAATGAAGCACTGAATTCTTTCTAAATGTGTCGCTTGTCATGGGATTTTGTTTAAGTGAATTATCATGTCACATCCCCCGTGTGTCTTGTCCATGGTTTTATTTGGGCATTGTACTTAACTGGTGTAGTCAAAATATTTCCTTACGAGAGTCAAGTGTGCTAATCCTATTCGGAAATAGTGTCTCCCTCCTAATGAAAGTAAATTAGTCACAAACATGGTCGTTAGCATTTCTATCCAGTTTAGATTTCCTTGGCCACAGAAGTGTGAGGATATAATCAGATGCTACTGAGAGGATACTTTATTTGCTCACAACAAACGTGTTTAGTGTATATTGTTGGACCATGAGTCCTGGACAGGAACAGGATATACTAGGACATTCACACCAACAATACACCATGGAAAGCAAGCTACAATCAAGTAGATCCCTAGTAGTGGAACTACTACATTTGAGGCTCACAGTTAGTTAATGAAACATAACATTTTCATTACTCTACTATCATCTATTGGACTGTCTGGTCTAACAGTGTCAGATAATCCAGCTGTTAGAGTCCTGAATGCAGTATAAAAAGAAAATTGACTCACATCTAAAAATAAAGTGAAATAGTCTGAAACTCATCTCCAAGGCCAGGTAGAAAGTGAAATGATCTGAAACTCATCTCCAAGGCCAGGTAGAAAGTGAAGGAGTATGAAACTCATCTCCAAGGCCAGGTAGAAAGTGAAATGGTCTGAAACTCATCTCCAAGGCCAGGTAGAAAGTGAAATGGTTTGAAACTCATCTCCAAGGCCAGGTAGAAAGTGAAGGAGTATGAAACTCATCTCCAAGGCCAGGTAGAAAGTGAAATGATCTGAAACTTACCTCCAAGGCCAGGTAGAAAGTGAAGGAGTATGAAACTCATCTCCAAGGCCAGGTAGAAAGTGAAATGGTCTGAAACTCATCTCCAAGGCCAGGTAGAAAGTGAAGGAGTATGAAACTCATCTCCAAGGCCAGGTAGAAAGTGAAATGATCTGAAACTCACCTCCAAGGCCAGGTAGAAAGTGAAAGTGCCACAACAAGATATAAGGGAAGTATGCACTGGTTGTAGTGCTCTGTCCTGGCACTTGGCCAAATGTTTGGGCAATGTGTTTGACTACTCCATACATGTCAAACACAGATGTACTCACACAGCTACATTCATGTTTCATCAGGAAGTGCACCAGTCATACAGTCAAATTATCCCTTGAGAAAGTCATCACTAAACGCGTGTATCACTTGGAGACTTCCGGACACTCAGCAACAGTATTCCATTTCCCCAGCTTCCAAAAAACCCATTGCTTTTTGTCAGCTTAGAAATGTTTGTTTAAATAAATAGCTTAGTTGGGTGTTTGTACCTGATGGAAGACATAAACATATTCGAGGATGTTTACACCTTGGCATTCTAATACAAACAGATATAAGATTTTGAAACTTCTTTGTTATTTCCATTGCAACATTGAAACATACACTGTGTCAAGAAAAACTCCATGGTGAGAGTTGACTTAAGCACTCTTATTTTTAGATATCATCTGAACAATTCAATAATTACATTTGTCTGTGAATAAGAATACTTGAAAAAATGCTAACCTCCTTACATCACGTGGGCAACAAACATGAAGCACATTACATAATAATGAAAAAGATTAAAGGATTACTCTCCTCTCATATAAATCAAATCTTGCTTCAGCTTGTGCACATACAAAGTAATTACAAAGATAAAAATGTGGCAAGGGTGGAAACAAGACTTTGATAAAAAGGCTAGTGGACGTTCTTGCCTCGGGAAGATGTGATATCCCCTGCAATGGTAAGTATTTATCGTGAATAAATATATAAAACTTGTTGCCCTGGAAAATAACCACCAAGTCACTTCCAGACCTATCTATCAGCCAAGTTTGGTGTAGAAATATTGTACGGTTTTGAAGATCTGCTCCGGAAACAAGCACTACCTCTATTTTCGGTCTAGGTCAAAGTTGTTGCAATGGTAACTCAAAAAATAATTTTTTTAAAAATCCCAAACTATCATAAGGTAGCAGTTCACCACCAGACCTATCTTTGTGCCAAGTTTGGTGAAAATATATTGAAATGATTTTCAAGATCTGCTCTGGAAACGATGTCTTCCACGGATGGACAGATGATGTCATTGACAAAGTGCAGGAAAATTACCTGTCTCATATATACAGATTCACAGCTAACACTAGTTTCAGAGCACTAAAAAGTTTGAGCTATTCAAGAAGGATACAATATAGATTTTGGGCTAGAGATCGCCAGCAACCAAACTGGCCACTACTGGGAGGATAGCATCTGACGTTTTGGGTCATAACATTTGTGGCTATCATTTGGTTCACACCTCCAGCTGATCACAACAAACAGGATAGTTGTAAACATTGCATCTCTTGTCATGCAGACATCAGTACATAAAGACATTTTATTCCACCATAAACTATCAACTCCACACAGGCAGCTGCAGTGTGTCAATCATGGCCAAAGGGACATAACTGCTATCTGCATATCTGCTCCTGTCTAAGAGTTGGCATCCTAAGAAAGTAAAAAGTTAACAAAAGAAAACATAATGGGCTTCTCAGTAAATGACCTATTAAAGCTTTGAATGTTGCCTGTTTCCATATAAAAGAAGAAATAATATCTTGCCATGGGGAGGCATGTGAACTTGAAATTTCTCTTGCATGCCCATCAATAAAATATATGTGGGTTTGGCATTATGACCCAGTTATATGAATTTGATGAGGTAGGTAGGAATTTTCCACCCGAATCTGACCATTAAATGAATAATTAAATGAGAGAGGCATGCTATTCTAGGGATATAAAAATAAAAAAAAATAAAAGAATGCCCAAAACTTTACATTTGAAACTTTTTTGCAGGGTTGGAGACTAGTTTTCATTTTCTTCTTAGACCTTTTCACAAAACACTTTCTTTATATGACAAATTAAGCACTGATGAATGGGAAATCTATTATATGTCCATGTTCTGACTTCCGGTCACAGCAATGTTTTCATATACAAAGAAAGCACAAGGTTAAGAAGATTAAAGCACAAGAAGCTAAAGATCACGATGGAAGTCCTGAAAGAAAAGACACATTGCTTTTCAACTATGTGCACTAATTGCAATGTAAATATTTGTAAGAATCAGCATCAAGACACTGCTGCTTAAGTGAGCTGAATATTCTATATTGCCATGAATTAAGGATGTGTCTCTGTGATGAAGGTCTGACATGTTGATGGTATCAACTGTCAGTGTAATGTGGTCTGTTTGATGTGAGTGGACAGAGTGTCATTAATGTAATGAAATGTAACACTCCTTAATGTTTATGGCAACAAACATCTATATTAAGAATCATTGACAACAATGGCTAAAACACTGAAACTTCATTAACTCTATCATCTATCAAGTTTCACCTTGTTCACTCTGATATTGTTAATCATTTTCAAATTAACGAAAACTGCTAAAGTTGTAACTCAAATACCATGATGAATCTTCATTCCATTGTAGTGTTACATGGCCGACCAAAATATCAACTCTCTGGGAGTTGTGGTTTCTCAAAGGTAATGATTTAACGTCTTTCCACAAAAGGCAATTCTTTGCTTTTTTTATGCCATGAAAAATCTGCTTCCTATTGCATTGCTATTCATCATACCAAACTTTCAGTTTCCTAAACCTGTGGTTTCTGGAAAGAGATTCTCACAGATTTTTCACTGTTTGAATGTCTTTTCAGATTTAACTTGTGTGTGATTTCATTAGAGATGCCCCTGTGTGTCAATATCATTTCTAAGTGTCTCTCGAGCTTATTTCAGCACACACAGTAATTGAACTGTGCAGGGAGGAAGTGTACACACACAGCCTAGTGATGTGATCCAGCTTCCAGACAGGTCCATTCCAACAGGGGCATATTATTGGAATGGCAAGAGCTGATGGCGAGCTGCATTTTGAAAATTTGTTGTTGTCACTGGCTGTTGATTGCTGTCATGCTTGATCATTTTTAAATCAAGTTTACAAACAGGGCAACACACAAGCAATCTTCTTTACCCTGGAGCTACATTGGTAAACAAAATAATGTGATGCAGGGTGGGTGGTAGTTTCGAATGGCTGAGATGATATATTTATCATGGCCTAATCATCATGAACCAATTTTGGTCCTTTTATGAAGTGGAAAGTTAATGGACAGATAACGTACAACGCTTCATGCCAGAAGCTAACTTGAACCATTGGTAGTGGCGAGTTGGAAATCCACTACACACAAATAGAAAGAAACTCAGTGTTACCTTTTCATAGTCTCTACTGTCATCAAAGGAGACAAAGTTGTCAGATTCAGACATCTGTGCACAAAACCTGTAATGTAAAATTAGAGTTGTACATATTTTATACATAAACAGACAGAAGAAGCTTTGATGAATACATTCGTGACAATGAGTACATAACATGTACACCAGAGAAGAGATATTTACAACACTTTTTAGAAAGAATTTGTCCGTCTTCATTTATTTCTTAAAAAAGAATAGCTGGTCATTGTCAGTAAAATATACTGATGAATAATTTTATTCAGCCCTACAGTCAGTCTCTGAAGTGTTTTCAATAACCATTTGGGTATTATGCCATGGTCAGGATCAGTGACTTTCCTTGTGGAAAATTGATGCATGGCTTACCTGTTCTTGGTAGGTGTGGCATACTCATCTACAATGCGCTTGATCAGTTTGGGTGTGCCCATCTTATCACTGAGGGCCTCAGACAGGTCTGACTCCTCCTCTATCAGAGTCGACAACTTCCTCGCTGACTGAACAGAAGTTTGTCTGACAAAATACAAATGCAATATATATACAATAATAAAAGTAAATGTGAAAAAGAAAACATAGAACTTATGGTTTATTGCCTTTAGCGATGTTTTGAAGTAGATTCTCACCCCATCAAGCTAGAGTATATATATTATGTTGTGCCAATCAAATGGTTAAAAGCAAGTATTTCAATTTTTCAAAACTTGTTTGGTCAGAAACACATTTAACTCAAAACATTTTTTATCGATTGAAGATTTAAAGTGGATTGTATTTAATCTGGCTGAATGGGTTCCAAAAGATTTAATTATTTTTATAAAATTTGTATTTTAAGTTATTTCTATGCTCCAGTTTAGATATGTACAGCAGTTTAAAAAGGAAAGAAAATTTATACCAACTAAAATACATATTAAAATGGCATCATGCCATCTATGTGTATCCAGACAGGGGTCTTGTGTACATTGAATATTTCAGTTTTCAACAAATTTATTTCATGACAGTTTACTTTTGATTTGGGGAAGGATGTCAATCAACAAAGATATGACATCTGAATTAAAACAAATAACAGTTACTTCATCACTGTGTGTAAATAATAAGGGGGATGTCATACATGTTTGCACAGGTTTGGTGCTGACAGACCATTCTCAAAAACAGAACCCTTACAAAGTGATAGAAGCCAACTAGTAACTAGGCCTTATGAAGTTATTCATAGAAAAACCTTTTAAATTCTATTTAAGTTCTATGCATAAAGGCTATACCGTAAACATGAATTTGGTTAAGCTTAAAGGATTATTGGCAGTTTCTGATCCTGCCTTACACCTGTGACATCTTAATATATCATGCTTTTCGTCCCCCAGCAAGGCAATGTTACTTGCATTTTACCTGGTAAGCTGTGCGGAGAATGCCACATCGTGTGCTGTGCTCTGTGCTGTGTCGGTTCTCTCATGGTACCTCGGATCCGGGTCATGGGCAGGGAGCTCACTGCAACTGTCAAAGTACTCCTCAGTGGAGAGGTGGAAGCTGACAGACTTGCCATCATTCCTGGAGGAGGCAGCCATGTCCTGCTGGACATACTGAGGGTACTCCGATCTGTCTGGAGTGGAATCTGGACTGGTTGAAAGAAAGTCCACTTCATCAACTGGGCTCCTTCGCCCACGTTCAATGGCAGCCTGGAAACTCAAGCTTCGACTACGGGTAAATTGGGACACATTGTTGTCATTTGCGTCTTTCCTATTTTCAATAGCATTCGTAAAACTGGGTCGTCTGAATCCTGCTGGACTTTGAACGCTGACGCGGACATTGTCCTTCTTATGCATCCTGTCTCCTACACTGCGGGAATATTTATGCTGCCTGTGGTGTGAGGAGTCCGAGTTTGCATTGCTCTCAGCAGACGTCTGACTGCCACTGCCATATTTGATGGAACTCCGGATGAAGTCTCTCCTTCTGTTCTGTCCGTCCACACTTCGGGAACATCTTGGACTGACGTCCACACCGCTCGTGCTGGAGCTGCTGGAGGTGTTGAGGTTGGTGTAGGAGTAGTTGCTGTGACTCTCGGGGTCATGGTAGCAGTGGCGCTGATGGAGAGAGGGGCAGGACAGGGTGTGGTGTGATGGAGCATTGCTGTTCTTCTGGCACACGGCACAACTGTCTCTGTCCAGGGAGGAGTACTGGTTCAGGGCTGAGAGTGTGTTTGCACGCTTGTTGGGTCTGGTGGTTGGGTAGTTGCCATTGAAGAAGTCAATGGTCAGTGCATCTGTTACAGAAAGAGAATAATGATGTGTACTGAATGCAGAAGGAATGCTTTACTGCATAGGAATTTTATGCAATACACATCTTATTTCAACAATTTCAAAATTCCTTCAATGTGTTTTAGTAAAACATTATCAAGTTTGGGCCAGGCAAACCTGTGGCTGGCAGCATAAACAATGTCAGCATTTATTATTTTCTTGTTTTACAACAGTCAGCCATATGAAAGTAATATCACTGATCCAGACATTGATCCAATGTCCCATGCCACCACACAATCAGCAACATCCCAGTAACTACACACATCAATAAATAGTAATGATTACTGTCAAGTGTTTCTACCTGAATACTATTGAAAATTATTTTCCCTTCCAGACTATAGTTTAGACAGAAATTCAAGGTAATTTTGTAAGATCTTCTGTCAGATGAAAAAGTATTCTCATAAACAAAAATCATGATGATAACAGCTAATATTTTAGCTGTACACTTAATATCACTCAAAGAAAGTAATTATGATCTAACAAATCTCTGGTTGATTGATACAGTGCCTGACACACTGCTCATGACAAAGCTACTTGTTCTGGTTTCCTCGTTCTGTTCTGTTTTACAAAACATAATAAAATCATAATGAAGACAACTAAACTACTCATAAGCAGATATATGAACTTTCACTAAAAGAACCCAAATATACTTCATTATTTCAAATTCTGAAAACTTTAGGACCAACTAATCAGTATAAAGATCAAATATGTCAATCAATGTTAATGTTGAATGGACTTCAATGCTTAAACAAGTAATGGAAAAATCATTCTGACATTTACTGGTAGAAATAATACAAGCAGTGTGTTGCCAAATCAATATATTTGCCAGTCCTCATACCAACAAGTGGAGAGCTGGGAGAGGTATCCATGGGTTGACAGTAGTTGCCAGACGAGTCCAGCTTCAGCTTCATGGGCTTGCCCTTCTGTAACAAGAAAAACATGGATGAAATACTACTGCACCTTTCAGCTACCCTACTGCTATGAGTGGAAACAATCACCAGCATCAACATGAGGTGAGGTGAGGTGAGGTGAGGTGAGGTGAGGTGAGGTGAGGTGAGGTGAGGTGAGGTGAGGTGAGGTGAGGTTTAACACGTTCAACATTATTGAAGCATTTATAGTGGTGACCGGTTCTTGATTGATCTCCTTAATGCCAAGCATCAGGAAGGGTAACAACAAGTACTATTTTAGTATGACGAGTCCAGGGGATCGAACAACTGACCTTCTTTTCACCAGGCAGACACTCTATTCACTAGACCACGGAGGCGGTCAGTGTAGACAGAGTACCAGCGGTAGAAACTAATAGTTTTAGTCCACTAGTCCTTATAGTGATAACATATAGCAAAACCATTAATAAAAAGGGCAAATTTCTTCTTGTCCTTAGGATACCTTAACTATTGAGCAGTTTGGCAAGGACTATAGGACTAGTGCCAATTTCTAACGCTGAATACATGCATAAGTTGTGTGCGTTAGCTTACTAGTCACATACTTCTTTTTCTTTTAATCAATTGGTGACAAAAAAAGTATTAAGTTGCTAGGTTATCTAAACATTCAAGGTATATATTGACATAAGAGTTATACATTGACGCTGACAGTAAATTAACTGACCAAAACTACAACTGATATTATGAACACAACCACATAGAATTTCAACTCAATAAATTAATCTAAGAAAATAAACACAATTATCGATTTTTATACAACACAAAAAGTAGATACTTTCCCAAATCAATAACTTATTTCCCCCCATGTTATTTAGGTCATAACTAACTTAAATAATCCAGTGACATGTGTTTGAGTTCCAGCTGCACCATGTGTGTGACAAGTTGACTGGCCTGCTGCAGGTCTGTCACAGGAACAGGCCAGGCCCCTCCTCCACCATGGGCCCTCACCCTCAACGTGTCATTACCCTGACCAACAATTACCTTCATCCCACAAGTGTCACCCATACTTGAAGATAAGCCCACTAACAATTACTGTATAAATGGCTTGTATAGCTTTTCAAACACAAAATGAGTGTTAAATCTGGAGATCAGTGGGGCTGTAGTTGCTCAGACATGTCAGGCATACAGTGAAACCTTGTTAGTCCTTGAACCATCTTAAAATAGAGCTGAAGCTGGAGATACAGGTGTAAGGCCATAGTGCTGATAAGGATTTTAGCAGGAACATCGGGTTACACCATCAGTGACTTTAGCCACTTGTCTGAAGTAGGTGTCTCATAAAACATATTTTGGTCGGGTGAGTTTTGCAATTAAAAGTCCATGTATTAACACTATGATCTGCTAAAAAATTATGTCAAGTGACAACTTAAGGGCTAGCAGAAAGTTCTTGGCACAGACTGGTTATATTGTCTTAAATTGGAACCAACGAGGTTTTACTGTAAATCAATAAAAAAAATGGCTGCATTAGAATCAATTTCTTGTCCACAGACCTTCATCCATCAAATAATGGTTTAAGGTTTCAAAAGATTTTTTACCCTTTTTTTTAACTTTATAACAGTGACAGAAACTCATTTATGCCACTGATGCTATTATCTTAGCCAGTGAGGCATATTCTTTAGAACGGTGTTTTTCACAATAATCTATATCATTCCAGGTGAACAATAGCATGCAGACTAAAAACTATTATCAACGATCAATCATCAATCATTTGTCTCCCAGTGATGATTGATCATGATTTGTGAATTGATTCCAGCCTGAAGTCACAAGGCAGTTGTTCAATGGATTATTATACACAACACATTGTACTTGGCTTATCTCGCAACAAGGCACATTAAAAGTTCCAAGGGTCATACTTAGAGAATAGCAGGGTACCTACTCAACTCTGTTGTTACTCAGTTAAATGAGTTTCTGAGTACATCATAATAAAAAAAGGAGAAAAAAGAAGAAGAAAAGCAATAAAATAAATTAAAAAAATAGACAGAAAGGAAATCTCTATATGTAGTCTTATTAAAGCAGCTGGGTTTTTCATAATAAACGCCAAATAGAGCGATAACAAAGGCATTTTGTTTTCAAAAGCAATATAGGAGCTTACTGGGGGCAGGTCCTCCAATATATGGTACTGGATATCTATTCCATGTATATAACTGGTATACCACCACAGGCTACAGGGAAGTGCCATACTAACCAGAGCTCCCAGTGCCACTTGGCGTTTCACCAGCTTATCTTTCAGGCTCTCAATCTCCTTGGTGATCTGCTCCTTCAACAGGTCTGTGGAACTGGACAGTGGGCTATCCTTCTAGGGGAAAACAACAGAATTACAAGACCAGAATATGGGTAACCAGCCAAACAAGACACAAAGCTTGGCAAAACTGCAACTGCACTATGTTGAATCCTTGTTCAATCATACCTCAAATCAGTCATAGTAGTGCTATAAATTACTGGGGGCTTGGTTCCTGCTGCTATTTCAATCCAGGGACCTACCTCTAAATCTTGAAAAGTTTCAATGTTCAAGTTAGACCAGGAACCTTTCGACTTATACATAATTTCGATCACAGCATCATTATGAATAATATATGCCAGTGAATCTTTCTCCACGTCTATCAACCCAGTAACCTTTATTTCTTGATGGAAACCAAACTTGTGTAATAAGCCTCATATATGTCTCCTGAGCTTGACAACCTATCTGTCCTGAAGACAACTCCGCAAGGCACGAAGTCTAACACTGCTCTAACCTCTGTACTCTAACATTAACTTATGGTAACTGTTGGACTATGACCGTTTTGTGGAATGAGACCCTGGGGAAAACATTTTTGCAGCAGTCGGAAAAAGATGTTAAAATGAAAATATTGTCCTATTTGATATGACCACAATGACAGTAAAGACATTATCCTACACACAGAGTCAGACCTAGCTATCACAAATGAAATAGGAGATCTTACATGGCAATATTTACCACCCAGAAAACCAAAGATATTCACATGTGCCTCACATGCTCTCCAAGAGGTGAGGTGACATGGGGTTTAACATCGCGTCAAATGTTTGTGTGTGTGTGTGTGTGTGTGTGTGTGCGTGTGTGCGTGTGCGTGCGTGCGTGCGTGCGTGCGTGTGCGTGCGCGTGTTGTACTAGTCCGGACTGATGCCGATTTATAGTGCGAGCACACTGAGATACCATGCCACAGTTTAACATGAATACCCCACTCAGACACAGTATACTGACTCAGAGCCGACCAGTCCTTGTTTTACCCCCTTAATGCCAAGCGCCAGACAGGGTAACAAGTACCATCTTTTACTGTCTTTTGGTACTGCTCTCCAAGACACCAGACAGGATATAACATACATACATCTCCATGGAAGACAAAAAACCTATTTAGCATAATCCATTTGAAATGTCAGCATTTCATATAAAGGCAGGTCTGAGAGGTATGAGACTGCAAAAACAGACCAGACTATCAAATGCCCCCTATGGACAGGTCCTTCCATCAGAGAACATATGTCAATTTCACACAAGTCCTTTTGTAGCTGAGTAGATCAGTTCTGATTATATTCTTTGAACTGTTCTCTTGGGAGGAAAATAGCAGTAGTGTAAGAGGTGGCTTGAAATGCACAAAGACGTAGGATGTTGGATCTGAGACACACCTGATGGTTGGTGGATATCATGGCTGGTGAGCTGGCCAAGACACAAAGTTGTCCTGAGACAAATAAAACTCATACAGCCTAAAACGTGCCAAGCACTCAAGATTGATGTCTGGTAATAACTATCCTGTTCAACTGAGAAGACCAACCAAGTCACTTGAACCAGACAAATGCCAGCACAAGGAATAATGCAACTGCAAATGAGACAATATCCATACACATGTTTAAGATGAAAAACCCAACCAATATGCAATTTAAATATCTTGAAAAATAACATTAATTAAGCTTTTTAGACAGTAAATATGATTACATCTTTAAATATTGGTTTATATGAGTTACCAGAATTTCTGCAAAGTCTCATAGGTCTTTAGGGCTACAGGATGAATTGTGACCTTTTCAGAATCAATTTGCCTTATCTAATTTTCCTGAGCAGCAAGATCTAAGTTAGAAAAAACAACAACAAATTGCTCCAAGGGAAATTCCCTATGCCTGGTAAAACAAACATGGGGCAAAAAACAAGTCAGAAATCCAAGAGGAAGGGCAAATATCAAAAATGTCACTTTGACTGAAATCCAACACAGCAGGAACATAGCATTTTAATTTTGCAGTCAATTTGAGTTGGGGAAATTTGGATAAGCTACTTGCCTCGGATAACATCTGACAGAAGAGATTCAGAAATTAGAAGACCTAAATTGAATTATTGGACTCCACTGACAGCTTGAAGTTCCACAAGGACATAACAAACATTTGTGACAGATTTAATTAGGTGCCTCACACTGCTTATGTGTACTAATTGTGGCTGATCAGTGTGTCAGGCAGGAGCTGAAGCTGTATACAATAAGGTACCAAACAATTAGCTAATATGCATTATGTTTCACACTCATAACTCAAACCAAGCTTCTTCGTTAGTACTTTACATGAGGTATATAATATGCAAAGGTAACAAACCAAAAGAAACCCTTCTGCACTCAGGTCAAAGCATCTACAGGATAGAAATTCATTCTTATTTTCACTGGTCAGCTTAAATGATCTGTAATCGAGTTGCCATTTTCCATAATGGTAAGAGTAATAGTTCACAAGTAAATGTCTCCAGGCTTTCTTGAACTTTTCAAGTCCTGGACAAGCAGACTTATGCCTATTTTGAACCCTGGTGGCACAATATATGACAATCATAGGAACATAGCTTATGAGAAAATCTTCACAATGCTGATTTGCTAACTAACCAGCCAAGCTACAGGAGACACCACTTATGACTTACAACAGAACAATATATCAACATAATGTCATTTTGTATCTGTTCATTATCCCTCTTCTGACATTAGTTTTGAACTTTTCATGTAGCTAGTGAAGGCATTTACGAAAATGAAACATCATGACTAAAATACCTAGAACCATCTTTAAAATTACGTCTGACCTGGAGGTAGTACGGTAGTGTTTTCTTCTATCTCTGCCCTAACTGAATCCCCCCTCAACATAGAACACATGCAGAAAGAATACCCAGAAACACATTGTAACCTAATATCTAACAGAACAAGTGGGGAGCTAGCTAACCTGGTCATCAATCGTCAGCAACCTCACCAGCAGATCGGGGCGAGATGCACATAAATTGGACATAATGCTTTAGAGACTTAGCCAAAATGTGAAACAGGAGACAGTGAGAAGGGCAGTATATTTGTGCAATGTTCATTGATCCTGTCCAGACTTGGTTATGCTGTTCAGCCCTGCAGTGTGTTGTCCCTACCTGATCATCCATATATTCGGTCTCCACATCCTTCTGAACCAGCCTCCATATGTCTCGCAGGTCCAGCTGCCGGGCCAGCTTGGTGCCAGCTAACGTGTCCTGGAACACAGACCCACACAATATATCAGCTACAACATCTCTCTGTAAAAGAGAACAATGACTGCATAAGAACTCCATAAAAGTTTAATAGGAGCAATGCTGGTTAGGGTGTTAATTTAAGTGGCATTGCACCTTTTTTGCTATGATTACTTCATGAAAGTCCTTCCATGAAATTAATGTGTTTGTTTTTATGTACATACTGATGGCAAATGTGTATATAGGTTAAAGGAAATAGAAAGTTGGGAAAGGAAGGTCTGTATAATTATTTAGGTATGATGTATTCAATGTAACACATACATGGATAACCTGACATGCAGATAACTGGATATTAGATTTCAAAGCCCTACACTTTAAGGATTTAAGGTGTATAACAAACATGGACACACTGAACTAATGGATACAAGGAACTGATTAGTATGGAACTGTGACCATAAATTCCATATACTGGTACCTGCCCAGTTAAAGAAGCCTTGCACTGTGCTCTAGGATAATATTACATACTTATTTTGAGAGGATGCTATTTACAGACCATGAGTTAGTGGTTATCACAATCTTGTCTTGTAAAAGGTATGGTACTCTTAGTTGTGTCATTGTCATTGTATTCCATTGGGGAATCTGGAACAGAATTGGTCCCCAGTAACTAATGTTTGTTGGAAGATGGATCAGATGGCTTGGCTGATTGCGTGCTCCTGTGCCCCAATGGCATGGACTTAAGCTATAAAGTCATGCCATTTGCCCTAATGGCATGGACTTGTGCCTTAAAGGCATGCTATTTGCCCTAATGGCATGGACTTGTGCCTTAAAGGCATGCTATTTGCCCTAATGGCATGGACTTGTGCCCTGAAGGCATGCTATTTGCCCTCATGGCTTGGACTTGTGCCCTAAAGGCATGCTATTTGCCCTCATGGCATGGACTTGTGCCGCAAAGGTGTGGACTTGTGCCCTAATGACATGGACTTGTGCCACAAAGGTGTGGACTTGTGCCCTAATGGCATGGACTTGTGCCCTAAAGGCATGCTATTTGCCCTCATGGCATGGACTTGTGCCCTAAAGGCATGCTATTTGCCCTCATGGCTTGGATTTGTGCCTTAAAGGCATGCTATTTGCCCTAATGGCATGGACTTGTGCCTTAAAGGCATGCTATTTGCCCTAATGGCATGGACTTGTGCCCTAAAGGCATGCTATTTGCCCTAATGGCATGGACTTGTGCCTTAAAGGCATGCTATTTGCCCTAATGGCATGGACTTGTGCCCTAAAGGCATGCCATTTGCCCTAATGGCATGGACTTGTGCCCTAAAGGCATGCTATTTGCCCTAAAGGCATGGACTTGTGCCCTAAAGGCATGCTATTTGCCTTAATAGCATGGACTTGTGCCCTAAAGGCATGCTATTTGCCCTCATGGCATGGACTTGTGCCGCAAAGGTGTGGACTTGTGCCCTAATGGCATGGACTTGTGCCGCAAAGGTGTGTACTTGTGCCCTAATGGCATGGACTTATGCCGCAAAGGCATGGACTTGTGCCCTAATGGCATGGACTTGTACCCTAAAGGCATGCTATTTGCCTTAATGGCATGGACTTGTGCCGCAAAGGTGTGGACTTGTGCCCTAATGGCATGGACTTGTGCCGCAAAGGTGTGTACTTGTGCCCTAATGGCATGGACTTATGCCGCAAAGGCATGGACTTGTGCCCTAATGGCATGGACTTGTGCCCTAAAGGCATGCTATTTGCCTTAATGGCATGGACTTGTGCCGCAAAGGTGTGGACTTGTGCCCTAATGGCATGGACTTGTGCCGCAAAGGTGTGTACTTGTGCCCTAATGGCATGGACTTATGCCGCAAAGGCATGGACTTGTGCCCTAATGGCATGGACTTGTACCCTAAAGGCATGCTATTTGCCTTAATGGCATGGACTTGTGCCGCAAAGGTGTGGACTTGTGCCCTAATGGCATGGACTTGTGCCGCAAAGGTGTGTACTTGTGCCCTAATGGCATGGACTTATGCCGCAAAGGCATGGACTTGTGCCCTAATGGCATGGACTTGTACCCTAAAGGCATGCTATTTGCCCTAATGGCATGGACTTGTGCCGCAAAGGTGTGGACTTGTGCCCTAATGGCATGAGCTTGTGCCAATGGAGTTGACTTGTACTCTAATAGCATGGACTTTCTCATCTTTGGTTTGCCTGATCTAGACTTGATTGTTTACTGGCGGATGTGATACAGCTGGAAAATTGCTGACTGTGGCATTAAACACTTACACACTATCATCGTAAACATTTAAATTAATTCCTGTTAGTGAGGTATGGCATGTGTGAACAGGTCAATATTCAATGTTTGAGTTACACTTAGGTGATGATGGACATACTCAGCAGAAACACTGTTATTGTCCAGGCATGTTAACCGTTGTTACAATTAAAGATAAAAGTGATAACCTGGAAAGGAAATTTTGTTTGGTGATAGAAGCCTGTTCAATAATAAATAATGCTCTATCATTAAGGAAAAAAAGACAATAGCATAAAAACATTGATGCATTGTCAGCTTGATTTACTGGTAGCACATGCTGAATCAGCTTTCTGATCTCAGCACTGTTGTACTTGATTACTTCACTGTCTTGATCATTCCATTAGAGATAAACAACTTCTTTCATCTAAGGATGTGGTGGGGGATAATATTATCATGGCACAAGCACAAATACCGGTATTAATTATTTGACTCACAAAAATCGTGAACGAATCCCGGTTTGAATTGTGTGGTTAGTCTTTTGACATGCAGTAAAGTTCTAAAAAAACACTGGGAATATTTATTTGAATAAAACAGAACATTTTAAATTATTATCAATGAAAGTGGTGGAAAAAATGAATTCTTACAGTGATTTTGCTACATACAAACCCTATTAGGACATGTTCATGATCTATCAAGTTTGCATAGGACATTTTTTTGCATCATTACTAATTTTGAAAAATATCACTAGGACATTATGGTCAGTCAATCTCCAAGAAAGTGAACAGATCTGACACCCTGTCAAACTCTACACCAACACAAACAGGTTTATAAATAACAGTATAAATTCCCCGCTGAAAGGATCACCATCAGTGAGCATGACTTGTATCAACCAGTGTTAATTACTCAATGCCAACCACATCACAGTCCATCTTCTAAAATCACCCGGGGAATCACTGAGGGTGAAGTAATCAATAGTAACTGCTGCATCAAGATCAACACAAGGTAGTCAGGTTATGTGCACAGTGACTTGTCAACTATATTGTCTCACTCATATTGTAGGGATAAAGTCATTACATGTAGTACTAACCTAAGAGGGAATTGGACAAGACCTTTGAACGACATCAACCTAATGTATAGGCTGTGTCCAAAGTCAGAGGTCAGAGTTCCATGGTTACAAAGACAAATCAACAAGTCTTAATCATTTTTACAGTAACCTCTTTTTTCACTTTTTTGGGCCATCTGACCTCTGTCAGAAGTTGTAGCTAATGTCTGGCAACATTGACCATCAATCAAATGTTGTACCCTTGGCAATGCTATAAAAGGATTTTTGTGAGATATTTCATATTTCTCTGTAGGATAGTATCATGAAACAAATGTCATGTCCTTAATGTAAGATTTCAAGGAGACCACAACTGTTCAAATATATGTTGACACAATAAATCCGGATTCACCGACCATAAAAAAAAAGTGGGGTAAAGATAATTTATAAATCCCTATTTTGTTATTCCACCGATTCCAAAGTTCAGTATATCAATCTTTTCTTAGCATACAATACCTTAAATTGTAAAACAGACAAGACTGGCTTTATGTAAATATATTAAAATATCTTCCTAAAGAACAAGAAAAGCCTGAAATGTCTACTATATCTTGTCCCCACCTACCAACCAGAATTTGTTTTCATATAAAAAGCTGTAAACCAAGAAATAGAAAAATCTGGCTTACTCACCACAATAAGCTATTTCTACAAGACATATAAAAATACTTAATAATAAAGAAGGACATATGTACAAGCATGAACAACACAATCAGCATTAAAAGCCTATATTATTATTCAGACAAGCTTTACCCATGAAATCCCCCAAGTTATATCTCAAAATACCAAATAACAATCATCATACTAATGCTTTAATTCCAGCAGTGTGATATAATTACAACAGGTTGAAATACAATAGTTGTATCAACCCCCCAATAAAACATTGATAATAGTTCATTTCATGCAAAAGAAACATTGAAAGTTTCCCTTTTGTTCTCATCATCCCAAAATGACAGGGGAGACAGAGAAAGGTATCGGATTAAGATGTTCTTTTCCTCAGGGTCATTAAAAAGCCAATGTATAGAGACACTATTCCTTCCATACCCTGGGGGTTCTGCACCTAGGGATTAACTGTGGCAATGTAGAATTTCTTGGCAGGACAAAACAAACATATCTTAAAGTCAAATCAAATCTAAGCCTCACTTATTTTGTCTTGGGTTAAAAAAATCAATGACTAGCCTAAAATGTCAGTGGACAGAGGAGGTGTAATTTGATCTAGTTCCCACACGTGAATGGCCTCAAGTCACCCCACGCACAACTCAATTTGTTGTCCTTTCGAAAGTTAATGAGGTAGGTAATAGTCACAAGATCATGTGTGTTTACACAGATATTATCATGTAACATAGATCTAGGGTATCTTCCAGGCAATCTCAGACAAATATTACAAATGTAAGCTGCAGGCAAGTTCTCACACACACTTACATGTTAGAGACATGGGTATATTTTAGGTGAAATGAAGTTTAACCTTGTGTTCAAGATAATGGCACTTGTATAGTAATGTGCATACACATGTGTGTACGTGCGTGTGTACGTGCTTGTACTAGTCTTGACTACTACCGTTTTCACAGTGTTAGGCCACTGAGATACCCAACTAGGACATAGTACACTGCCTCCGAGCCGGCTAGTACTTGTTTTATCCCCTTAATGCGTGTCATGTATATTAATATTCCTGCTATATGACGACAGCTT